TTTGAACCCCGCAGGTGGCAGGTGCGTTAGACTCCAATCTTATGACTAGGAAAGTCAGTTATCTTCCGAATGTTTGTGTTTCTCTCTGGGCACACATGTATCCTCCGCCAATAAAAACAGACCCATTAAACATGTGTTAAAAGGCCAATAATGCTGAAAGTGGTGTTAAACAGCATGGTTTTTTCCTAAAAAAATATTCTGATCCCCTATTTGATGAAAAAAAATATTGTGGTCAGGCATTCTGAATCCAGATTTTCCCCATACCTTATAGTGTTAAATTTTGAAAAAAATAGTTTGATTGATAGCGTGGAAAAACTAAAAAAAATGTTTGCACTTTGTGGGAAAAAAAATTCCTGCCTCAGGCAAAAAAACATACCCCCCCCCCTTGAAATTAAATGGTTGCTCCCTAAGCAATAGCTCAAATGTATTTGGTGTCTAAATAAGTTGTAAGGTGTATATGTCTGTCGGAAAGATTTATCTGACCATGACCTCATTCTCATAGATCTTTTAAAATGTCAAGTTTATGAGAAACTTTTAGTAAAACCTTTATCTTTAAGACTTCCAACATAAAATCAATGGTCAGTAAAGCAGGTAAGACATTTCAGCATGTGCACTCTTGTGTTTATATATATATATACATATATATATTGACGTGACGCTTGACTTTTTAATTATTAACATTTAAAAGAAGAAAATCTAGTTAGGGCACTTCTTTCCTTCAGCCCAGTGTAGCCACAGGACACATTCGAACTACTACCATCTGTTGATGTCAATCTTGTATGTTTGATACTTTTCTTTCTTGTGACAAATTTTAAAAAAAGTTGTGAAAGCAGGACCTAGCCATACGGGTACCAACAGAACAAGGGGTGCACGTGCGTGATTTCATAATTTAAAAAAAGACGGAGACCAAAATGGACAGTTGTGTTGGTGTTGCTCGCTAGGAAATAAAATAAAACTAACTTAAAAGTAAGTTTACATTTTTCAATTCATTTTTAGCTCATCTGGCCCTTAGTGCCAGTGTTAGCTTTTGCCATCATTTGGGCATGGCGTCCGTTGTGTGTTGTCGTAGTCGTCTGTTGTCGTCATCGTCTGTAAACTTTTACAAAGATCATCTCCTCTGAAACAACTTTGCTAAATTTAACCAAACTTTGCCACGATCATCAATGGGGTATCTCGTTAAAAAATATGTCCGATGACAAACAATTATTTTTTTTCACTTTGCCTATTATCTCGAAAATTATAAAGATAGACAGAAACTTTAAATAGCAAAAATGATCAACAAGACAAGGTCTAAAAATTAGTCAACATGATCGAAATCGTCAGTCAACACCTGACTGAAGTTATTGCCCTTCAATGATGATTTTTACCAATTTTTGAAATTTTGCCTATTAATATCTTGAAAACTATAATAGATTGATAAAAAGTTTTAGTAGCAAAAAATTATCAGCAAGACGAGATCTACAAATAAGTCAGCATGACCGAAATCGTTAGTCGACTCCTTATTGAAGCAAGGGTTTGCATAGTATTACTACATGTATACAAATCCTTGATTGAAGTAATTGCCCTTCACGTAGAGTTATTTCCAATTTTGTCTTTTTTGTCAATTATCTGTAAAATATAATGATAGACAGAAACTTTAAATAACAAAAATGATCAGCAAGACCAGATTTTCAATAAAGTCAACCATAATCGCTAGTCTCCTCCTTATTGAAGTTATTGCCCTTTAATGACTATTTTTCCCAATTTTTGTCATCTTTTGCCTATTATCTTGAAAACTAAAATTGATAGATAGAAACTTTAAATAGCAAAAATGATCAGCAAGATAAGATCTACAAATAAAGCATCATGGCCGAAATTTCCAGTCGACTCATATTTGGAGTTATTGCTTTTTAATATAATTTTCACCATTAATTTGCGTTATTTGCTTATTATGAATTTATCTGGAAAATATTAAGATTACATAGAAACTTTACAAAAGGAAAAATGATCAGCAGGATAAGATCTATAAACACGTCAACGTGACTGAAATTGTCAGTTAATTGTTGATAGAGTAATTCCCTTTAAAAGATTATTTTTACTAAAAAGTGACCAAGATACAGGTGAGAGACACAGGCTCTTTAGAGCCTCTAGCTTTATGTGAAACAGTTGGTTTTCTTGACTGACATGTGTGTTTTATCAAGTCAAAATAGCTGCCTTTCAAACGTGAATTTTGAGTCTACTTCGACCTTCAAAAGTTCTAAATTTTCCTATAAGAATCTTATTAATTCTATCATGCCAACCTCTGTGCTTGTATTAATATGAGTAGGCATTATATTTGTCAACATTTTACAGCTCGCTAAAGCTCTGTATAAAGATAATGATAATTATAATGCCTACCCTTGTTTATATGAACAAAGAGAATGGCACGAAATAATTATTTCGTAAGCAAACCCCATTCCGTATTGTAAGCTTTATAAGAGACCTAGAAATGACAAAATGTGAAAAAAATTCCAAGGAGAAAACCAACGGCCTGACTTATGATAAGAAAACCAACAATAATTACAGAAAGCAACCACTAAATAATAGGCTAATGATTTGGGAGAGGCAGATACAGAATATTGCGGGATTAAACATCTTTGTTAGATCAAGTCCTCCCCTATCATGCCATGCATATTTAACTCACAATTTAATAGTCCAAAGAAAGACAATCGCATGAAATAAGAGATAATTTTGACACAACTGGCAATATCAATTGTTGCTAACATTTCGGAGAAGCTGCGCAAATCAATTTAAAGGTAAATTAAACCTGGTTTAAAAGGCCGCGAATTGAACCGACGAATCCCAATGCTTGAGATGAGCTTGCTTCAGTTAGAATTCAAATATGATTGAATATTATCTTTAAACTTTAACGGACTCGGGTCCTTTTTTTTCGTTTTTCGTCATTTAAAAAAGAAAAATAAGGTAATTAAAAATTAAACCTGGTTTTATAGCTATCTAAACCTCTCACTTGTATGACAGTCGTATTGAATTCCATTATATTACAACAATATGTGAGCAAAACAAACAGACATAATAGGTAAAAACGTTAACAATTGGGATATAGCAGTCAACATTGTAATATAATCTTAATCACTATAAAAAATAATAACTGTTTCAACAAAGAAAAACAAAATGGCATATAGACAAAGTACATAATTAAGCAAAAATGAAAAACAAGAAATACAAAATTGACCATAGCACATTAACACAATGGCGGGATGTATAAGTACCGAACCACGTCATAAGTATATATTAACTAAAAATGGACGAAACATTAAAGGTTAAATATATACAAGGACAAATAAGAAGAACACTACAACACGTAAGTAAGATGACAAACAACGCCAGTACCTGAAACTATATACATGTATCAAGACCATCATGTATTATTTGAATTTCTGAATGAAAATTTCCAATGTCAGAATCAAAATGCCTAATATTGTAAAAATGTATCAATACCTTTGTCAAACCTTCATGGAATTTTAGGAAATTTGGACAAAGGCTTGTTTATGACCAAAAGACAGTATCCAGGGCAAAATGTTGAACATATTCATTTTCAATTTTCCGTATTCTACTGATAAATGGACTTAGTTTTGTATAAATTTGACAAATTGATACAGTCTGTGGTTAAAGTTTGTTGCACATCAATTACTTAATCAAACCTTCATAGAATTTTATGTAACTTTGGCAGAATCTTTTTTATGATTAAGAGATAATGTCTCAAGCAAACTTTTGAAAATGTATTTTTTTCATTTTCATTTTTTTTCTGATAGGTTGACTTAGTTATTACAGTTTACATTTACAGACAGTCTGGGATTAAACCTTTTCGACATGATAAATTTGTAAAACTTCATGGATTGTTTATTAATCTAGGCTCAGCTATAAAACCCGGTTTAATCCACCATTTTCAATATAAGGAAATGCCTGTACTAAGTCAGAAATATGACAGTTGTTTTCCATTCGTTAGATGTGTTTGGGCTTTTGATTTTGCCATTTTATGAAGGACTTTCCGTTTTGAATTTCCTTTGGAGTTCGGTATTTTTGTCACTAGTATTTTAATTTTTGGACAGAACCTAATCAATAGCATCTAAAGAAAAAGTTAGATTTTATTTTTAAAAATCTGTATTTTACTGATAAATGGACTCACTTTTTAGCTCACCGGGGCCCGAAGGGCCCAATGTCAGCTTATGCCATCACTTGGCGTCCGTCGTCGTCCGTCGTCTGTCGTTAACTATTTCAAAAATCTTCTCCTCTGAAACTACTGGGCCAAATACCTTCAAACTTTAACTAAATGTTCCTTAGGGTATCTAGTTTATAAATAGTATCCGAAGTTTTGATCCATCGACAAACATGGCCGCCATGGCTAAAAATAGAACATAGGGGTCAAATGCAGTTTTTGGCTTATATCTCAAAAACTAAAGCTTTTAGAGCAAATCTGACAGTGGTAAAATTGTTCAATTGGTCAAGATCTATCAGCTCTGAAATTTTCAGACAAATCGAACAACCCATTGTTGGGTTGCTGCCACCGAATTGGTAGTTTTAACAAAATTTTGCAGTTTTTTGTTATTATTTTGAATATTACTATAGATATATGTAAACTGTAAGCAGCAATAATGTTCAGCAAAGTAAGATCTACAAAAAAGTTAATATGACCCCTTAAGGAGTTATTGCCCTTTAAAGACAATTTTACACAATTTGTTCATCAAGTTTGCTAACATTTAAAAATCTTCTCCTCTGAAACACAGGTGAGCGATTCAGGCTCTTGAGAGCCTCTTGTTAAGTCAACATTACACTTTTAGACTGACAGCAGCAATAAAGAGCGAGACACAGGGTTCCACGGAACCTTTTCTCAAATTTTTATTATCTAAATCCCGACAATATGATTGTATATATAATTAAAGATGATCTTTCAATCATGTAATTGGAAAACCGGTAAATTTCATTGTCGGAAATCATGTTTTCCGATTATGTTGTATACATAATCTACGCATTTTCAAATCTGCGTATAAATGCTACGTGTTAAGAAAAGGCTATCATATGAATGAACCGAGAATTCGAACTCAGACCAAAATGGTCCTGATGAAAAAAATATACATATGTGTCTTCCTTGTTTCGTTTTTGGTTGGTGAAACTACTCAAGAACCTGGTAAGTAATTATTACATAACAAGTCTATACTTTGTAGGCATCTAATAAGGAAATGATAATTTCAAAATTCAGAAATATAGCACGGTTGGTACTTGACGAGAAAAAATATTGAACAGGCAAATTATGTATTGTTAGATAGAGTGAATAACATGTTCGTTACATGTATTGCTTTGAGAGACGTTACTTGCAACCTGTATGACTTTATGTAATGCATTGTATGCGTGACAAATGAAGAATAAATATCTTTACGTCCAAACCTGCGTTTTCGACAGCGACACAACAACACGTACAACATATATAATAACGAATAAAATAGCAGTTACTACGGGCCCAACTCATCAGGTCGGTACTGTAATTGTGTTAGCCAATTTTCTCCATTTTTAATTATATCTGATTAATTATTCCCTAATCTTTCTATTCTAAACCCTACTTCACTCTATTCTTGATTATGTTCACCCATTTTTTCTCTATTCTTTGTTCTTCTTTCCCATTATTTCTATTGTGTAAACACAATCCAGATCCTCATAATGTAAGTCTAGGTAAATTCAAATATAGATTCACATAAGGTTTTTATTTTTAGGGATATGTTTTTATGGAGAAGAAGCATGGACACAGGCAAAGGATTATTTCACACAACCATCAACTTGCCATGGTAATAATATTTATTAACTATGGATCACAAGGATTGTTCCCCTTAAAGGTCTATTTGTATTTCTAAAGTATGTTTCACTATAGAACAGATACAGGGGAATTTGATGTTTAAATGGAATCTTCTTTTGTTGTTTATTTTCTAACTAAAATAACGAATAAACAGTGCACCAATCATAGCTAGCTATATATTGTGCTAATTGTTGGCATTTAGAATGGGTTTTGGACTCCGTCATTCCTAATAGGGGTTGTGGTATACATGTAGAACATTTTTCGTCCAAAGCCAACAATATTAAAGATTAAATTAAAAATTAAAATGTGTGGCATGATTTATATCATTTCTTTCACTAGTATTTTTTCTGAACAATGCTATTGATGATTTCATATTTTATCTAATTTAAAAAATTATAATTGATTTAATACATAAAGATAGCAGTGCATACTTTAAGCTTCAATAAAAAATGTAAGGTACAATTTTTCTATCAATTTTTTTTTCTTTATTTTATCTCCCTTTAGAAGGAAGACCTATTGACTGTAATGATATTCCTGGCAAATGTCCAAGTGGAGTATATAAGGTGTTTCCAAAGCAAACACAAGGAATTGATGTTTATTGTGAAATGAATTTAGACGAAGGACACTGGACGGTGAGTTAGATTTAAAAAAAATGACAAAATAAAAAGCATTTCACAACAGATCCTTTTAATGTTATAATAAAATAACTAATGAATTTGATAGTTCCAAATATTTAGTTTTCCCATTCCCCTCACTCAAAAAAATATATAGCATTTGACATTTGGTTTTTCCCAGAACACTAGGCTTTTATGTGTAAAATGCACAGATCACGATCATGATAATCGTAGATTAATTTATTTTCATGGTCTCAGAAATCTCTTATCCTCTTTTTTTTTAGCTATTTATTTTGGTCATTTGTCATTTTTTGTTAAACAAAAAAAAGTATCACACTTCCGGAAAAGATGTATCGAGCTTTGTTTACCTTAAAATTGTCTGAAAACAGACTGGTTATAAATGGACTAAGAGAACAAAAAAAAAAAACCCAAACCCACAAGTCAACGAAAAACAGAGAAGTCAAAGGCCTAAAGGAAATACAAAGAAAGAAACACCTTCAACAGTACACCTGAACAAATTCTTCTTTCAAAAAATAAAGATTGAACGGCACCAGGGAAAACTCAAAATGGTCTGCAGTTACTGTTTCAAAAAATTTTCAATGATATCATACTCTGATCAAATATAAAATAATACTCTTCTTCATTGACTTTGAGGCAATAAACTTGCTACTGTCCGAATAGCCAGTAAGTAAGTTTTAATATCATAAAGTACGAGAAAATGCCTGCTTCCATTAAGTATTTTTTTAAACTATAAACTGGTTAATAGTCTTTTTATGGGACAGTGTTTGCTTCCAGTATATATTTCATACCCAGTTGATAGACAAGTTCGTGAAAATAGTAAAGGAGAATGTTCGGTAAGGGTCATATTTGGCCCCGAATATAAAGTTCAATGTTACTGATTTATACAATAAAATGATGCTTTAAGTTGACTTAAAGACATGCGAGAAAGTTATATAGAACTATTTCTGTCAAAGTTTTATTCTAAAGCGTTGGTTTTTACATCCCAATAAGGTCAAAATAAAGGATTTTGGCGAAATCTGATAAAATCGGCTGGATTTCAGCCAGAACCAGGAAACACAGAGCGCAGGCGTCGACAAACTAAACATTCAAGTTAGGCCTGTAAAATGTCATTACAATCATTATTTTCATAGATCTTTTTTTGTCGACGTATGCGCTCTATGTTTCCTGTCCAATAATCAATTGAAATTTACCCATTTTTATTGATTTTTCATGGAAAATCAAAATGAGGACTATTTGTGACGTCATGAATAAAATGCAGGAACGTAAATTTTCAACAAAAAGACTTATTCCTATCTAGTCACTGTATTAGCTATGATTCATTGTGATATTTGTCAATAAATCCTAATTCGAAATTTAAGCTAAAAAAGGGGTCCATTTCAGGGCCTTATCGAACCTACTCCTTTATTCATCTATAATTCAATAAAACAATCATATACTGAGGTATAATAACTACAGCTAAAAAATTGCAAATTGAACATCGAAAATTGAAAGACAAAATACTACGGTTGTGTAAACAACTAACGGTATCCTGCTAATTTTGTATTGTTAGAAATGTAATTTAGTGACAATATTCAAACGTTTCGCATGAGTCTTTCGATTGTTACTACATTTCAGAGAACAAGACGTATTTTGATATTGACATGATATAAGTTTTCACATATTCTTACTGAGAAATGTAAACCTTTGGTTACCGAACCTCTTCCGAAATTTTGTATTGCACTGCTCCTCGTATTAAATTGTCATATATCTTTTTTCAGGTTTTTCAAAGACGAGAAAATGGCTATGTTGACTTTTACCGCGGATGGAATGACTACAAATCAGGATTTGGGAACCCGAAGAATGAGTTTTGGCTCGGTTAGTTTGCATATGATTTAAATGCATTTTACCATTAACATAACCACCAGTCAAAAGTTAAATCAATTGTCTTTTTTTTTCAAATCAGGTCATTTTTTAGTTTGCGTACATTGATTGAATAATACACCTAGTCTTTACCAAACTACAGTCGGGAATATCCTTTGGAATATTACCGACTTTTGAATCCGGAGTTTATATTTTTTCGACAGGTTACCTACTCTGTGGAAGAACATCCTGGTGCTGGTCAAGTAAATGAATAAAATTAAGCTTTCACTCGGTACAATTTATGGGGAAAATTAACTGCTTTACATTTTCACGAAAACTGCTTTATATATATACATTTGATCACGAAATCAAAATACTTTAAGCAATTAATATATAAAATGTTTCATTGAAGTGCATAGGGTCATGATTTAATCTTCAATTTAATGAAATTTTGAACTTTGTTGCATTATAAACAGCTACGCCACGAGCGCATGATACGCCCGTCGTCTTGTGTGTGACGTTTTATGCAATAATCATAAATCGTTTCTGATATACGGCGCGACATGTGAAAACCCCCCTTTTTTATAAAAAAAGTATACAGATCCCGCTGTTTTAGTTACAAAGCCCCGTTACTCAGGAAGTTTTAATCTTATCTTCGCCAAAAAGTATACAGATCGTTTGACCATCTTAAGAAACAACTATGAAAAGTTTCACGGATAAGACGTTCTCAAGTTACGGTACGACATGTGGACGCCGGACAGACGGACAGATGGACGCCGGACATTTGTATACCATAATACGTCCCTTCAAAGTTTTATTTTGACGGGCGTATAAAAACAAACATTAGGTCATGGTGGTCTCTTACTTGTGTGCTCACCTCCTGTGGGAGAGGTGTAGGTTTTATTTCAGACAAGGTGAAACCAATTACTGTAAAATTGACATTTGCGCTATGTTCACAGCATCTGGGAATTAAGGTATAATAGCAAATTTTTACTGATCGGCTAGGATTCAGACAATCATGTGTCATTGTAGGGTGTGACATGTCTATCCGAGGAAAATAGAATATTCCATGCAACGGAAGGTAAAAAATTACGGCAATTACGGCAAGGTTTGAACTATAATGCATGGACATGTACGTCAATTTTACGGAAATTTTTGGAGTACTTTTTTGGAGAAGATGTTACTAAGTTGTCAAATTTGTGTCTGATCCAATATATTTGTCATTTTGAACACAACAATACCGATATATTTAAACTAATCATCCCATATCTTTTTATATTTTATTTTGTGTTATTTTTAGGCAACGAAAATTTGCACTCTCTAACATCACAACACAACTATGAAATGAGGATCGATTTAATCGATTTCGATGGAAACGCGGCATTTGCAAAATATAAAGTTTTTGCAATTGGAGATGAGAGTTCGAAGTTCAAACTAACCGTAAATGGATATCATGGCACTGCAGGTACAAATTTGATCATATTTCATGTTTAAGGTATTTTGATATTCTTAGTTTTTTTAGTTGTATGGGTTCACTGTACTTAAACTCGATTTGATGAATACGAAACGTGAATAACTTTATTTATTAATAGAATGTCGATTTTTTTATTAAAGTTTTACTTCATGGTTCTTAATTAAAGTAAAACAAATAGCTTGGGATTAAAAAAAACCCAACAGTTAATTATATGGGCGCATGGCATTCAGTGCGCCATTTTTTACAAAATCCAATCTGTCATTTGCGCCACAAGGTTATATTTCATTTGCACCAAAAAATAAAACTACATTTGCGCAATTTTACAGGTGATATAGCGAAAAAGTTTAAAATATTCATTGCTTCATCGTGAATAAGATTTTTTTTTAAGTATTCCACCAAGTACGTAACTATGCAAGTTTAAACTCAATTTCTAATATTGAACTGAGAGTCACTTAATGATAACATGTTTTATGTGTCAAGATAGACATTATCAATTCTGAGACAAACAAGCCGTTATTTTTTCAATTGGATTGTTTCATATTTTTCATTTCGGGGATGTTTATATCCGACTATATGGTATGGCTTTTTTCTCATTTTTGAATGCCTACAATTGCTTTCATCCACTTCATTAATTTTGGTGAATAGTTGTTTTATTGGCAATTAAACCACATTTGGTTATTTTTATGTAGAGAAAATAAGTCTGTATTTTTTATGACCACACATATAGGTTATCCAGTGTACATGAGTACGTCCGAGCCGTTGCTAAAAAGTCTTGTTTCAGAACGAACTTTTGGTTTTACTCCAGTGTATAGCGCTTACTTTTAGGTTTTATGATCTCTTTAATTTATAACAGAACTGTGTTTTAACATTATCATGAAAAGTCTCTTATTATAACGTATCAGTATATATATATATATATATATATATAGTGCTTTCATTATAGTTAGTAATACGATGATTTCAGAGGAATATGTTTTATTATGTAATCAAATAATGTGTTTTAAAGTTATTATTAAAAGTCTCTTTTGAATAAAACTAGTTCTTATACTATTTACCTGTATTATTGGCGCAAATGAAATGTTTTATTTTGGCGCAAATGAAAAATGGTTTGTGGCGCAAATGAAAGATTAGTTTGGCGCAAATGAAATGCAAAGCACTGAATTATGTAACAAGGTGGGTACTGACATATCTTCCTAAAGAATTTATACCTTGATTAACTATTATTATAAGAATACTGAATAGAAAATCAAATATCAAAATTGAGCAATACAAACCCTAACAAAACGGGTTTTTCAACCAGCTTCTAGCTGTATAAGCAACTGATATTGATTGATAAAAGATATGCATGATACCGTTATATTGTTGTTCTGTTACTACTCGTTCTATTCTGATTAAAGTAATCGACCTACCTAATAAATTGGTATGTACTGATTAACTGTGAAGGCTGATGTTCCAGAAAACCAACAAAAAATCGTATAAACATTAACAAAAACCGACTACTAAGCACTTCAATGAAACGGAGTTTATATGAAATATCATACATTTATTGTACATTTGGCTCTTTTAATGTTCTTCTAAAAATAAGAGCAAAAAGATAGTAACCGTATAAACAAAACGATTATCAGCAAATACTGCGCTTTTCCTTGCTTCAATTTGTTTTTTCTATATCTTATTATCGTGTTTACGGAACATCCGCACTCTATGCATGATTCTAATCATACATACTTCTTGGAGACAGAAAGCTGTAAAGTTCAGGAGATGCTTGTAGCATTAGTACAATAAACTTGATAACGTTAATCATGATTCGTAAGAATACTTATATGGTTCAATTCTTGATAGAATATTTGTATTTTCAGGTAACAGCATGGAATACCACAGCGGCCATGGTTTCTCAACAAAGGATAGCGATAACGATAACCATTCTAGTCACTGTGCTTTAGTGTATTCTGGAGCCTGGTGGTTTAATGCCTGTGTAAAAGCTGATCTAAATGGTCAGTATTTTCTGAAGACACCAGACTCCGCCCATCGAGGTGTTTACTGGCGTGCCTGGAAAGGATCAAACTATTCTTTGAAAGGCTCATTGATGATGATACGTAGAGTGTCAATTTAGAATTCACACATTATAAGAATTTTGAATAAATTATTAGTATTGTGTATTTCCCCCTCTTTATATCACTTTCACAAAGCAGTAGTGAGTCAAGTGGACTAAGACTTGAAATTATTTTTTTTTTATTTCTTTTCTTGTGTCGTTTTATAAATACAGTAAGAGAGTGTTTTAACTTATGATTGTGAGTCCCCGAGGGTATCACTAGCCAAGTAGCCAGTGGCATGAAAAGACGGGTAATTTTTTAAACCCCCGCAATTGAAAGTTGAGGGGCATATTGTTTTACCCCTGTATGTTCGTCCTTCCGTCTGTTCTTCCGTCCGTCCGGTTATGGGTATATAGTAATTCCAGATAACTCCTCCTACAGTTTGAATGCTAGGAAGGTTTTTCGTTGCTGGATGTATGTACATTTATTGAAGGTGTGCATGTGGTCAGGGGTTTTATTTTTATTGACATTTGCTCCTTTAGGAGATAGTTTAACTTTGTCATTTTTGCTCTTTTGGTAGATAGTTGAACTTAGTCACTTAGAATTTACTTTCATAGGAGGTTCATAGCGTTTTCGGATAACTCCTCCTACAGTGAACCATAGACTTACCTATATGCTCCAATACTCAACTTTGTGTATTTAACAATAACACTTTGCATTTGTGGGTGCATCATATGTGTCTCCAAAACACAATATTATCTCAAAGAAAGTCCTACGTTGGCTTTGTTATGATATAGTTATTTCAGAGTTGAGTGCGGGGGCATTAATTTGTCTAGTTTTAATTTGCCTAAATTAAATGTCGAAATAATCTAAAATAAATAATTTATCTCCTTCATGCATGCCTCTGATTCCTTGTTCGTGTTTGGTTTGATCTTTGGTCCTTTTAAGTTTTATCAGCACTTCGGCGTTTGTATTAGAACATACTCACCCATTCTTGTCCAATGGAAAATCAGAATTTTTCCTTTCTATTTATCATAGTACATGGCTTTCCATGCACTATAAAATGCTATACATTAATGACTTTTCATTGTTCATGTGTAGATTAGTTATGAACGTGAACTCTTAAAAACTGCACTAACGAAATGTACAATCCCCCAAGGCAATTTCCAAAGGAAAAGAGTAAACGAACAAAATAATGAGTAGTGTTGTTTGTCTAGTATATACTACTAAAATAACGAGGTCCAATTTGTTAGCCAGCATGACATAAAAACGACGCATCAAAGAATCCGACTTTAGATTTAACTAATATAGGATAACGGTGTTGGTTAAAAATTACACCAAACCAGGCCCTTTGTTTTCCACATTATTAATACGACCAATAATAAACAAGTTCCGGGTCGAATCCGATACAGATACCAATAAATGCCAGTTATCTGTTACCTAATCTGTACGTTCCGCCTCTGTCAGGCGTACCAGCAAACGGTGTATTTGGGATTTGTTATATACACGTGTCATATTCACACATGAACTTCGTCACAGGGATTCCCGCTACTAAAATCAACCATTGACAAAAAAAAATATATGTCACATGAAGTGTCTAGGTGTTATGAGCAAACCAGGACGGATTCAAACAGAAAGATTCTTTTAGGGTTATTTAAAATTTTGAAATCAGAGAAAACTGTGCACCTAAATATGATCAGCATGACTTTATCAGATGACAATACGAATACTCAAATCCAGACTAAAAATAAGGCGTAAGTACTTTAGTTCAGTCACGGACCCGTGTGTGTGTTCTAGTCATTATAAATGAAACAGAATAGAACTATAATAAATGCATTTTAAGTTGAGATTTTAACATTATTAAAGTTATCTAATGGTAAATATATAGAACCCCCCCCCCCCTTCCCCTAGAAATAAGAATTGAAAAGGGGACACAGATGTGGGTAAAATACATGAAGTATTTAATCTAATTTTTATAAGAGACCTTAAAAATCAATGTTTTTAGAAACAGTGACTGTTGATAAAAAAATCAAAGAAAGTTTTTGAAAATAAAACACAATATAAAAAAGCAAGCATCTGATGTTGAAACGATTGTAAATTAAAATTTATTGATGATGATTCAAGTAACATTGTGTGATTTTTAAAATGAAGGATTTCTATACATTAAACTGTGCCTGTAGCAGAGAAATTACCATTTTTTAATAATTTATTGTTTTGTTATCACAAAACTATATCTCATTGCTCTTTCATTTCATTAGTTGAAATCACCATAAATATTAATATCCCTTTTACTAAACATGTTAAGTTAACATTAAAAATTTGAGTATTACAATGAGATTATGAGAGGCTTATTTTGTTATGTCATTCGAAGGTGTGAATATGTTCTAAATTTACCAGACAATACTTGGTCATGTTTTATGAACATTTAAATCACTCGGCTAGGTATCGGGCTTTAAATGTTCATAAAACATGACCAAGTATTATCTAACCTATAATTAGGTTTTTGGACTTTTCAATATTTTGGCCTGAAGCAGCACTGAAGATTAATTGTCGTAATGTGTTTTTATTATTAACAGTGTGGTAGGAAAACACAGGTCGATATTTTAATCATTTTCCCAGATTAAATAATATAGATCAAGATTTAAGAAGGAATGTCAAAATTTTGGAATTGACAATTTTAACTTGCGGTAGTATTCAAAGCTATCAAAGTTATCGATTCTACTGTAAATCTTTTAGTTTTCTTAACGATCCATTTAAAAAAGTTTTTTTTTTTAATTATTGAGTATGATGATTTTTTTTCAACTCGCTAATTTTAGCAAGACCAGTGGCGGATCCAGAACTTTTTATAAGGGGGCCCACTGACTGCAATAAGAGGGGGCCCGCTACAGTCATGCTTCAGTGATTATGTATATAATCAACCAAATGTTTCCCACGAAAGGGGGACCTGGGCCCCATGAACCCCCCTCCCCTGGATCCGCCTATGAAGACTAAAAGATTCCGTATGATTTTCTGGATTGAATTCTACTCATGAAGGTGTTTTGGGAATTAACAAGATCGTGTACCGTTTATATCGTTGCAGGGTAAAATCTACTGAGAACTACCAACTGAGTATTGGACGGCACAATTTTATAAACCCAATTCATCCTATATAGAAAATGTTCTTTCACTGAATAATGAATAATACATATTTTGTTCGTTGGACTCGGTGAAAATCATATCTCTGGGGTTGGTAATCATTGTATCAACCTGGTCAAAAGTCCATAATTGTATAGTATCGTCCTGCATACGCAGTTTATATAAGCAGCTTGACGTTAAAAAAAATCTGTAGACATCAATCAATCATAAAATATATCCATATACGATTATAAGGATTCATAAAGATGTGTATTTATAGAAAATAGAAATAAGCATACTAGTAGTATAAAGTAAGTGCAATGTTCATATACCCCGGCTCCTAAATTCCCAGTTGGTGTGCTCAGTTTAAAACGTTTTCTTACCTTCATCACAAAATTAAAGTAAGTACGATTTTGAAAATAAAGGAAAAAGTAAAATAACAAAAAGTACCGAACTCCGAAGAAAATTCAAAACGGAAAGTCCCTAATCAAATGGCAAAATCAAAAGCTCAAACACATCAAACGAATGGATAACAACTGTCATATTCCTGAATTGGTACAGGCATTTTCATGTAGAAAATGGTGGCTTAAACCTGGTTTTATAGCTGGCTAAACCTCTCACTTGTATGGAATCAAGAGAACATGTTCATTATCAGTGCTGTTACATTATAGATAAGACTACTCGTTCAAAAAGATATTGGATTTGTATAATTTGATAAGATTTGAAATGATTTCATACCATTTTGTATGTAATGTAAAGAAATATTTTAATTTTAAAAATAAAATTATGACAATATTTGATATGCATGACGCAGGGGACACAGATATATTTTTGATTGATATACAGTTAACAATTTTGACTTTCTTCGTAGAAAAAATACATTTCGTTGAATCTTGATTTTAAGTGGAAATATTTTATTTTATAAAAATGTGAAATTTTGAATCACAAGGATAGATAAGACCACATTCGAATGTAAGAGTATTAAACCTACGAGTTGATGTCGTCTAGATCATATTTTAGTCTCTGATGCATGATTGTTTATTATTAATTGTGTTTTGCTTTTCACTAGCTTTCAGTAACTGCGTGTACTCTCAAATCGTACTTTCGTGTTAATTTGACCTGTTGATACAATGTGTAATGCATTTTTGTTATTTTTGTTATTTAATGTTTACTTATTTAGTGTTATATCTCGTCTCTTTATTTTTTATATTATATACCAGCAAGTGTTTGGTATGAATATAAATTTTCACTTCTGTTTTCTTACTATGAATAACAAAATTATTTATTTTGTAAAACAATATTTCCGTACTCCATGACTGTATATCTTACAACAAAATTATTTTTATTTACCTGTGTACGTTATTTTTTTTGGCGGCATTTTGTCCAAGGTTATGCTTGTCTTTCTGACATTGTTTAACATCTCACCCCTTATTTTATTTATTTTGTATTTACATTGTGTCATAGATCAGATTTATTCGTTCAGTGTATGTTCACTTGTTTGTTAATTATATGTCTTTTGATTGAGTAAAGCCATTTCAATTGATATTTATTAGTGTGTCTTTCTATGTTGTGATGTTACACTATTGTTTCAGGTTAGTACCTATTAAAACGTTTAAACCCGCTGTTTTTGTTTGGACCTGTCCTAAGTCAGGAATCTGATGTTCAATGGTTGTCTTTTGTTGATGTGGTGCATACGTGTTTCTCGTTTCTCGTGTTTTATATAGATTAGACCGTTGTTTTTCCTGTTTGAATGGTTTTATACTAGTCATTTTTAGGGCCCTTTATTGGTTGCTGTTCGGTGTGAGCCAAGGCTCCGTGTTGAAGACCGTACTTTGACCTATAATGGTTTACTTTTACAAATTGTGACTTGGATAGAGAGTTGTCTCATTGGCACTCATACAACATCTTCTTATATTATCAGTAATAGTATATTTTAGTTGGTTTTCTTACATAATTGATTAAGGCTTTGAAACTTCTTTGATTAAAGGGAAAATTACAATGTAGTGTAAAATTACTTAAGTTTAATCCTTTAGCAGAACATTTTTCACAAATAGTGTCTATTATATCACAGAGAATTTGTTGGTAAGCAATTTGAAACTTTTTAATAGAGAACCTTAGGTTTTTGACGTACTTACAGCTATTTTCCTAATGCTTGTAGTGTAAAAGTTTTGTTGGCTTGCTTTGTTTGTATGAATGTTTGCTCAAGTGTTGTAATTAAGATTGAAATCTGCAAATACTATAAATAGGCAGAGTAAGACCTGTCAATCAAATGATCAAATCTAACGATAATGTATGCAGGTTTAACACCGCCTATTTATAGTGTTTGCAGATGTCAATCTTAATTACAAACGTTTACACCAATAAAGCAAGCAAGCCAACCAAAGTCTTATTCTACAAGCTTTAGGAAATAAGCTCTAAACGTAATGTATCTTCTGCTGGTGAACTATCAGTCCCCGAGGGTATCATTCAGCTCAGTAGTCAGTACTTCGGTACTGACATGATTTATAACAAATTTCTAAAATTGTCCGTTTATAAATTTCGAAATTATTAAGAAACTAAGGTTTCAACTCTCTCAGGCAAAGTTGACCTTAGATGAATTTGGCTATTATTTTAGGTATTTTTGTCATAAAGCTCTTCAACTGTTTCGGTACTTATACATCTTCGGATTTCAAATGTTTTGCTTTAAACAAAAATCGTAAAACGCCTAAGCTTGATCGTTGTAAAATTGTGTTTGTCTCCCTTTCTCATTATTTATTTTAAAATAGCGTGTTCTACGATGGAGAGAGTTTTCACTTATATTTGAATATACGAAAGTGCAAACTTTGTTCGCAGGGGATACAGGTATATTTCAAATGATATGCAGTTAACAATTTTTCCTATATTCGCAGAAAAAAAGTTTCTTGTCAACAAATTTGTCAATATAGCTTGACGCGTTAAAAGAGTATACTGGAATAGGAGTTTCTGGGCGTATTTCTTCAAAAACAGATAAAGTTGATCAACGTTAATAACACAAGTTCAGTAATATAAATAAATATATACCTTTCGATTATTAAGCAATCAAAATACCCTGATTATTTGATTTTCAGATCGTTTTGGTTGATTATTTGATTGCCATTAAGTGTTTTTGTTGATATTTGTAAGATTACCAAACATGAGTTTTTTTTGTTTGTTTTTTTTTTTTGGTCTTATTGATAACTCAATTATTCTTTGTTAGAATGAATGATCTGTGTCATGTGTGTGGAATTAGAAATAATCTGTCAAATCTATCAAGAAAAGCAGTTTGAAAACTTTAACCTAGGAAGTCTAATTATGGCAAGTGAAAATAGAACATCTCGCCGGCGGTGTGATAAATTTGCCATGTTTAAAATCCCTGGAAGGATGCATATTCAAGAGTGTCAACAAGGGTGTAACGAGCGGACGGACCAACGGACAGGCAGAAGGATTAAATCAAGCCTTGTGTCACTATTACCTTTTGAAGCATTGCTAAGGAAAGATAAGAGCTCGGAAAAAAAGAAAGTTGTCACGGGAGGATAAACGGAATGAAAATATTGACTTTCAAGTACCGAACACGTTTGTGGTAAATTACTTTTTATATAAATGTGTTATTTTCTAATTCTTTTTTTATTTTATTCTCTCTTTTATGAATTCTCATGAATTCCAGTCCTACCTGTTTATTTCAAATTTATTCTAAGCCCCCTCCCCAAAATATCAAATGATTGTTGTCTAAGGTTTATTCAAATAGATATGATTGTATATGGGAGAACCTTGTGTTTTTTGGCAAGCTTCGCGGGCCAGATTATGTTAATATAAGAAAATTTTGTGTTGAACATTATCTAATGGCAAAATGTGGGCCATCTCTTTTTTTAACTCAAGTGCTGGCCAACAGTGAAATTAATTTCATTTCAGTCAAAATCAGGGCTAAATTATTTTCATCTTAAAACCCCCAGATTTTGTTAATTGAATACGAACATCAGCATTACCCAATCAAATCCCGGATTTATGGCTTTCTAACTTTCGCCGAAATCAATATGTAATTGTACAAGGTTTGGATACCTTTCAAGATAACAAATGATAGCGCTTATCATACACCATCCTGTCACCTCTGTGTTAAAGTATCGGTAACGCAAATATGACTAACACAAATGTGGTGTAAAATTCAGTATCCCAGCTACATAATAAAACAAAATACATGTTAGTACATTGTTTTGTTTCAATAATAGACGTGTATGAATACGATATTTTAATCTTAGACCCTAATTCTCCTGGAAACTTATTAGGTTGTCAATAAACTCCACAAGTAAGATAAAAGAATAACACTAAGGTTAAAGCAAAGCCACCTCTCAAATGTATTTGAAAGTAAACATTTATGTCAAATGATATACAATTATGTTCTTATTTCTGTTGTATGGCAATGCGTGAACTTTTGGGTTTAGTGTCCCCCTTTTTGGTATCTTCTAATTCTTTTTAATTTGTTTAATAATACTTTAAGATGCCTATATTGATTTTGTACCAAATGAGAGCTAACAAAAAAATAAGTAATACGGTAATTTTACCATGATGCAAAGTAAAGGTATTGTTTACTGGTCTTTTGTTTCACAACATATTATGCGCGGGGAAAAAAAATCAAACCCGAATAGATAGATTAATCTATTATTTTACAATTTGGAATAAGAATTTAACTTTGTTTGCGTTTTTGGCAAACAATATAGTGTATGACTGTATTTAATCAATATTGTAACAATATATGAACAGTTTGTCACTATAGAATTAACTATTCGCGTGTCTTTCCGTTTCAGTTCGTATGTTATTTCAATCAATCGATTGGAACAAATTCTCCTGGATTTTTGTCTTTGAAGTGTACGTAGAAATGTAACAAAAACATGTTCTTGAGAAAATCTAGTTCAAGTCATATTTCGACTACTTTTTTACTATTTACTATGGGAGAAGTTATTGGCAAAGAAATGTATAGCCGTTTGGAATTAAGACTTGATAGCAACACAGAGGCATTAGAAGACAACAATATCAAGTTGAACAAGAATACCAAAAGCATAAACCGTAATGCTAAAATACTGGAAGATATTCTAAAATTCCTTAAAGGTACGGCTTAATCTATTGAAGAATATCATGTCGTGAGGGTAAAAAATCGGCATCATATTTGTTAGGATCACAGGTCAACTTTGATGCTTGTAGACTATGAGGGGTAAGAGTTCAATAAGGCACCCCACCATACTAAAAGAACACAATAATGTATTACAGTTCATTCCGTTGGGGTGCAATATGAAACTCTTTCCCATAAACTATCTTATTGTACTTAATATTATCAATATAATCTAAGGTTGCAACTCTATCAGGCAAATTTTACTTTATGTAGTTTTTGGCTAATCTGGTATTGATAGTTTTCATTCTGTGAAACGTTTGATATAGACAAGGAAGCACTTCTCATGATTTAGTTGATTATGATTAATCCCGCTGTAAATAGTTTGCCACATAAATATTATTTCATAATGATGTATTATCGATTTTATATCAGAATTAGTATATGATTAAACGCCCTTTAAAAGGAATTTATTAGTGTTTAAACTGGACCAATTCACTCACAAACAAATAGAAGTCCGAAGGACTTTATGATTTGTTTGTGAGTGACTTGGTCCTGTTTATACACCAATAAATTCCTTTAAAAATGCGTTTAATCCTTTTATTTCTTTAAAATTGGAGATTAGGAATTTTAATTTCCCCACTCGTAACATCTATCACACGTAAATTGTATATTTGTGTCATTTAATTGGCCTTGTGTATGATTTATTTATTTGGTTAATGCATAAAAATGTACTCCATGAAATTTGCTATCTGATTAAAAGTAAACTACAAAAATATCTTATTATCATTCAAATGAATGTTTGTGTTTATTGTTTAATTTAACGATGAACGAGAAGTGAAAATAAATATTTTAAACGTCGAGCCGGTTTGTGTTACATGTATTATCGCCGCCATCTTGTTTACATTAGTTGCGAAAAGTAGTTCCGTCAACGTCGTCTATCGAAAAATAAATAACGTCAAGAGCCACTTCTGGGAGCCCTTTCTACCAATCATATAAACGTATTCCGTAATATGCAAATCATATAAGAATTATAACAAATTACCTCACAAAACAACAAATGATATATACAATAAAAGGTTCTAATACAAAACTCCTCCAGTAGGGTAATCAGGTACATCAGCTAAAAATCGTCATTTCGCAAGTAATTCGGTGAAAATTACTACAATTTAGGTAGTCCAGAACATACAGCCCATAATGTTTTGTTTATTTTTTACGAGCAGCTGCCTTACTCTATCAAGTATCAAGATTTATGACTTTCTTGTATCTTATGTTTTGTAGTTTTTATTCTATTCAACGTTTTATATCTTTGTCATTCTACTTTCTCGTAGTTTGGTGTTCTGACCCTTTTAAGTGGTATTCTCTTAAAGTGGATTAACTGTATACCGCTATCTGTAAAATAGCAGTACTGTACACAATCGGTCTAGTTCTTTGCTTCAATCGGCAATTTTTTTTTTTTACAGAATATCGATTAATGTGTAAAATTGTTTATTCAATAAAAAATAGTGACTGTTTTACCAATACCGAATATTTGTTTTTGGTTGATTCAATTTTTCAAGTCATAATACTTTTCAACCATATAACGAAAATAACTTTTATAGTTTTGTTTTTATTAAGGAATGTTAATGAAGTTTTTATTTTACTCTTTTAGAAAGAAAAAGTTCTATGACACCATTTTTTCTTATATAACTATCTATCTATCCCATTGATTTCTTTCACGAATACAATGTGTATGTGTCGAAAATCATTAGCGACATAACTTCGCAGTCTTAGATCTTTAGATACCAGAATAGTCATCTGTAATTTACCGATTATGTACATATTTCTGTGTCTGAATTGACATGTCTGGTGATGCATGTATAGCAGGAGTCGTTTATTTTATCGAAGAAACTGGTCTCGGTTGTTTTAAGTTTATTAATTCCCTTTGTTTTCGTAAGTTTGTTACCTTAATTTGTAACAATTGTAATGAATTTATGAGATTTGAACATCGGTACACTACGGTTGCCCTCATGCATTCATGTTTACACACAAATATCATTCTTCATTTGTAGATTCAAACCTGTCTTCTATAAAACAAGAAAAAACACTTCTGGAAGTGGCCCAAGGCAAACGAACATACCAAAGTTCAACACATGACTCTATGTATGCTTCTAAATTTGCTGTCGACGGACGTTTGAATACAATTCAGCACACAAAGAAGCAACATTTTCCGTACTGGGTAGTAGATATTGGCACCATATATAACATAGAACGAATCGAAATTTACAATGAACCAGACTGTTGTGGTAAGTCAATTCTTATAAACTTTTTGAAAAAAAAGTAATGGTTTTGTAAAACTAAAGAAACAATTAAATAATTAAGAATTGAAATGTACCTTAATGATATTGAACTACTTTAAGCCCTACAAAAAGTTATCTTCAGTATGAATACTTATAATGCAAGGCATTGTGTCACTGTTAGAGATTCTATACAATACAGAAACACTACTAAATATGAACAAGAATAGATTTGCTGTTCAAACACATGCATTTTCTTGCAACTTTTCACGGAACTAAATAAAAAAAACCTCATGCTTTGTATTTCCTACTACTTCATCTATTATATAAAAAATGACCGCCCCTCAAACGTAGACACGGAATGTTAATGTTTAGTTCCAAAACTGACTAAATCGATAAATATTTGATAAAATTGAGAATGGAAATGGGGAATGTGTCAAAGAGACAACAATCCGACCAAAGAGCAGAAAACAGCCCAAGGCCACCAATGGGTCTTCAACTCAGCGAGACAATTCTGCAACCGGAGGCGGACTTCAGCTGGCCCCTAAACCAAAATGTGTACTAGTTCAATGAAAATGGACGTCAAACTAAACTCCGAAACATATAGATTAACTAAAATTTAAAAAAGCATACAAGACTAACAAAAGCCAGAGGCTCCTTACTTGAGACAGGCGCAAAAAAGCGCTGGGTTAAACATGTTTTGTGAGATCTCAACCTCCCCTATACCTCTAGCCAATGTAGAATAAACAAACACACAGCAATACGCACAGTAAAACTCAATTTAAAGGAAGTCCGAGTTCGATGTCAAAATAGGTAACAGAAGAAACTAAGCAAAATGACAATGATACATAAATTAACAAAGAACTACTAGCAGTTACTGACATGCCAGCTCCAGACCTCAATTAAACTGATTGAAAGATTATGTCTTCATCATATGAAAATCAAGCATAATCACTTCCGTTAGGGGTTTAGTATCATACGATCATAAAATATATGAGAACAACATAACCAGTATTATGCCAACAACTGGTTTTAGAATAAATGTGTTTATGTTCGATGCAAAGACCTTATGAGTAAATTTAATATTAATTCCAAAAAATGCCATCTTTAATGACCTGACAACAGTATCGTAACTATATCCTTTCTGAATAAGTCTGTTAAAAGGTCTTTTTTTTTAGCTTTTGGGGTGAATGACGACATTGTTGTGCTTTGTAAAGAATATTACCATAAAATATAGGATGTGAAATGCCTGAACGTGTAAGATGTCTGCATGTTGATTTATATTTACGAATAATGTCCTCGTACCGATAATAAAATTTAGTAAATGTTTGACTAGTTTGTGATATCGAAAACCCTGGTGTAATAATTTTTCAGTAATACAGAGATTTCTTTTGTTAAAATCAAATACGTTGTTACATACACGAGCGAATCGAACAAGTTGAGATATATAAACACCATAAGATGGTGACAAGGGAACGTCACCATCTAAAAATGGATAATTAACAATAGGAAATGAAAATATCATCTCTTTTGTCGTACATTTTGGTATAAAGCTTTCCGTTAAAGATATAGATATCAAGTTCCAGGAAAGGACAGTGTTCATTGTTAGTATTAGTTTTATTTAAAATCACTTCCGCAGGATAAATCTCTTTAGTGTACATACTGAAGTCGTCATTATTGAGAGCCAATATATCATCCAAATATCTAAAAGTGTTATTAAATATTTGTATCAAATGTTGTTTCGATGGGTCTTTACTGATTTTAGTCATAAATTGTAACTCATAACAATACAGAAATAGGTCCACAATAAGTGGTGCACAGTTAGTCCCCATTGGAATTCCGATAACTTGACGATATACGGAATCTCCATAGCGAACAAATGTTTTCTAGTAAAAATTCAAGTGCAGTCATCGTATCAAAGCAGGTCCAAATGTCATAGTTCTTAAGTTTATTTATAAATCAACTTTCAAGAAACAATAACGTGGAGCCTGTCTGACCTATAAGAAAATGTACGCTTTTGTATATTCACGTACAATGTTCATGGAAAACAAAGCTAAATAGTACTGGAGAGCAAAGAGATTTATAATACAATATAAATGTTTATATTCTAACTTTAATTGTTTTGTAGGAGAACGTCTTCGTGATTTAGATATCTTAATTGGACCGTACCATAATGCTATGAAATTATGTGCACACTATGCAGGGCCAAGTCATACAGGAGATCATCTTGTGTTTAAATGTGGTGGAATCTTACCAGGGAGATATGTTAAACTTATGATGAGGAGAACAGAATATCTCCATGTAGCTGAAGTGAAAGTGTTTGCTAGGATAGAATGAATTGTTGTTTTCTTAATATCATTGTTATCATATTATTCTGATAAGAGTTTATATACGCACTAGAGTAATACATGTAAGAAAATAATAAAAAGGCATATCGTCTTCAAATTTAAAATTTAGGGCATGTTTCACAACTTAATCATTGCTGTCGTGATGTATCAAGGTAAGAATTCTCGACCCAACTTAAAAAGGCTTTTAAATGGTTCCATTTTCCCGCATTTTATTCTTAAAATGTTATGTACCAAGTCAGGAAAATGGCTATTGTTATCTTATTGTTAGTTTATGTGTGTGTTGCATTTTAGAGTTTCTGTTGTGTCTCCTCTTATATTTAATGTGTTTCCCTCAGTTTTAGTTTGTAACCCGGATTTGTTTTTTCTCAATCGATTTATGAATTTCGAACAGCGGTATACTACAATATAATGTGAGTGACTGAGGATTATGAGATCTCCAGAGGTCATTGACGATCAAAACTGTAATCACCAATTTCATCACCTTACCAAGGCCACAACAAGAGACACCATCTTGAAAAATAATTGAAAAAATTACATTTTCGTAATCCAGGTTGTGCAAAGAGACTTTTAATTTAGCTCACACACTAGATAATACACATCCACATTGAGCTCACGTTCGACAGAAAAGAGGGACGAAAGATACCAGAGGGACGGTCAAACTCATAGATCGAAAACAAACTGACAACGCCATGGCCAAAAATAAAAAGACAAACAGACAAATAATAGTACAGATGACACAACATAGAAAACCAAAGACTAAGCAACACGAACCCCACCAAAATCTGGGGGTGATCTCAAGTGCTCCGGAAGGGTAAGCAGATCCTGCTCCACATGTGGCACCCGTCATGTTGCTTATGTTATTACAAATCCGGTAAATAGTCTAATTCGGTAAGTCACATTCGTGAAACGGGAGGGTATTGTAGTTACGACATAAGGAACATATCCGATATCATCTGTGAAACGGTTATTCCATAACGGTCAACCAACTCGTGATGGCGTCCGTAAAATTTACGAAGGGATGACTCCAACTTCACCATTTGGAACTCTTGGTTTAATAGCTTCCTTGTGAGCAGCAATCCTCTATCAAGGAAATCATGATAGGAAATACAAGCCCGGGAATATCGTATCAATTGGGAGATATATACTCCGTATGCAGGCGCTGCTGGAATGTTGCTACATAGAAATGGAAAGTTCACAATTGGGAAGCTTAAATCATCTCTTTTGTCGTAAAGTTTTGTTTTCAATCGACCCTCATTGTCAATTTTTAGATGTAAGTCAAAATATGAGGCAGACTTAACTGTATCTGTAGTATCCTTTATCTCTTAGTTCGATGGGATAGATTCGTTCAACATAGTCACCAAATTTTGTATTATTTAGTGAGAGAACATCATCTATATAGCGGAACGTAGACAGAACTTTTTGGACCTTTTAATGCGTTTTTAACATTATTCCACGAGCATCTTTGTCATAGTCTTCTAAATTACTGAGTGGCAAAGTAACCTGTGTATAAACATTTTTATTTATCATTAGTGCCTTTATTGACTTTTTAAAATATCCGCATAATTTCAATTTAATAGATGTTTTGATCGTCGTTGACCTCTGGAGATCACATAATCCTGTCACTCACATTGAACATGGCAAAGGAAATGAAAGCAAGAAATAGTGGTTGTAATGAATTAAGCTGTGAACGAACAATTAGCAAAAGATATACTACACGAAATAGAAATAGCTTATCAACAAATGAACAAAGTGTGCCATCAAAACAATCAGGTACAATACAAAAACATGTCCCATACACAACCACCTTTTAAAAGCTGCGTCACGTAAAATCGATGCATCAAATAGGGTATTAGATATAGAAACTGAGGTTAAGTTTAACAACATTATTCAGACATTTACTGCAGGGGCTTATGAACAATTTAAATCTGCTCTGAGTGGAAGCATCATTGTAGCAAAACTAAACACGACAACAACCACAAAACAAAACCGACAGGGTCTAATCGTTGAAGAGTCAATCTCAGTCGTCCAAGAGATCAGGAGAACAGTCACTTTAGAATTATGAAAAATGGAAATCGCAAACTTAGGTCAACCCAGAGACAACTAGAAGCGGTAGCCAGAAAACAAAAGTTTGAAAACATCATGACAGCTAGGGAAGATGACCAAAAACTCTTCTTTAAGTTGGTAAATGATCAACGAAGAACCGGTATGGAAAAAACATCGCAACTGAAATTTAAGAATGGTATCTATGACAACCCTGATTCAATAAGGAAAAGGTGGGCTGAGTATTTTGATGAACTAGCAATACATTCAAGCTCTTACAGCGAAGATGTTCTATACAACAACCAAATAGAGTTAGACTGTCTGTTATTTGAAGATACATATATCTCAAAGTTGCAAAATAGCGAAAAAATATCTGCAACTGAAGTGCAGGTCGAAAAGGTTATTAGCACTTTAAAGAACGGAAAAACAGCCGATTGTGCAAACTTGCCAAGTGAACCTTTTAAGAATGGAGGTCAAATAATAATATCAGCAGGGACAAAACTAATCAATATGATCTTTAATGTATGTTCAATACCAGATTTATTCAAACTCAGTATAGCAACGCCAGTGTATAAGCGTAAAGGGAAGCCACTGGATGACCCAAACTCATATAGGAAAATAACTGTATCCAGCATTCTAAATAAAATACTAGAAAAATATATTTAGAAAAGAAAGATGAAACACTCAAAAATGTACAGAGCCCACTACAACGGGGTTTCACTAGGGGTGTATCTGGACTTTATGCAGCTTTGATACTGAATGAATTAATTACAGAGGCGCAGGACCTGCACATGCCATTATATGTTGCCTTTCTTGACGCCCAGAAGGCATTTGACTTAGTTTGGAACAGTTCATTACTGCGAAAGCTACATCAAAGTAGTATTGAAAGTGACTCGTGGCTTATGTTCAAGGAATGGTATAAAGATTTAACCTCACGAATAAAATGGGAAAGTTAACTATCAAAAATCTTCTCTGAAAATCAAGGGGTACGACAAGATGGAGTAACCTCCCCTGCAGCATATAAATTTTTTATCAACCCAATGCTGGATCATATAGAGACTCAAAATTTAGGAAATTATATTGGGCCAATTTATTGTGGCACTCCAACAGTAGCAGATGATGTATGTCCGGTCTCGAACAACCCAGAGGATCTACAAGCAATGCTTGACATACAAGGGGATTATGCAAATAAAGAACACTACTGTATACGTAAAACAAAATCATCTGTGTTTCAAATTGATGACAAACAATCCAGAAACATGAGAAATTTCACTCTGAACTAGGAAGAGATTCCAACGTCACAATCTGCTGTTCATCTAGGTATTGAAAGAGATAACTCATCAAAGTTTGGCACAAAGAATGTTAGCAATTCAAGGATCAGTGCTGCAAGAAAGGCAACCTTTGCACTGATGGGAGCCGGCCTGCACGGTCTGAACGGACTAAACCCCACTTTATCTATCCATATTATCCGTATATTTATAATACCAAGACTCATACCTGGACTTGAAGTAGTTAGATTAATGGTTAGTGATACAAAAGCACTGTCATTTTATTTTAAACAATTGTTAAAACGTATCCAACATCTACCAGAAAGAACAGCTGATTCAGCAACTTACCTTTTGTCTGGTCAGATGCCAATAGAAGCGGAAATTGATAAAAAAAACTTTAACTTTGTTCGGAAATATTATAAGAAACCCAAATACAGTGGAGTTTAAACTCGCACAGAGACAATTAGCTATCAAAGACAAAAGTTCCAAAGGCTGGTTTATCTGTGTTCAACAGCTATTGGAGAAATATAACCTACCTTCATCATCAGCACTGCTACAAGAACCACCAGGAAAATTCACATGGAAAACCTTAGTATCTAAATCTGTAAAATTATATTGGACAAACAAAATACATTCTGAAGCCCGTGAAAAATCGACTCTACAATATATAAACTTTGACCAATTAACTTTTGATAATCCACATCTAGTATGGAAAAGTGCAAAATTTGAATAGTTCTCAATCCAGAGGGCAGGTATCAAATGCACACTCATGTTAGACACTTATCTACTTCAAATCCATAAACAAAAATTTATAAGTATGAAGTAGACTCAACCTATTTATTATGTCATAATTGTGCTGAGGATAGGAAACCTTTTTTAATTCAATGTTTCGCTTTTGACAGTATAAGAAGTCCATTCTTGAAACTATTACATGGAAAAACCACTAAAAGATGTGAAACTCACTGATGCAATCTTTGAACAGCCGGATGAGTAGTTGTCTTTGATTCTTGATTGTACAGGATATAAAGTTATCCTCCATCTAGACATGAAGAATTTGAGGCAGTGAGCATAGGCCTGTGCTTTGCATTACACATTGAGAGGAGTAATAGGATTAAGACTTTACAATAACTGTTGTCCTAGCAGAAGTGCGATATGGTGTCACAGGGTGACAGGAACATTAATTTTCAATGTATAGTGAGAGTATACATAGGGTTACTGTGAGTGTACGGAGGATTATTGATCTCATTAGAGGGATTTTGAAACATTTTTCATTCTAGGATTTATAATTTTATTAATAACTATCTCCCTGGACGATTAGATGGTGTTTCGGCCCATAATTGAAGAACAGTAGTGGACGTATTACGTTGTAAACTCAACGGTTCTCCAAGATAGTGGAGGAATACTACAAAAACAGAACAGATAAGAGAGTACAACATACAGATACATCTAATTTAATACACAATACAATATAAGACCAATACATAAATATATATTTATTAAAGATAAAAGGCATGAATTTGACAGATACAATATATATATTACAATGACACAGATATAGCACTAGACATAGTTCATAGACACTAAAATGATTTACATGTTTACTAAATATTTTAATTTAAAAAAAAATTATGAAAATGTTCATGATATTTTAATAATATGAATAGATTAGATTAAATAATGAGTGAAATTCAAATTGACTAGATTTTCACTGTAGCCTAATATCTTAGGATGACCCACAAAAGTTATCAAAACTTATTTCCAGTGTGGTCCTTTTATGACGAGACTTCTAGTTTACACAAAGGGTTGACACATAGAAATACAAACACAAATCATTTAGAATTTATCACAGATAAATGGTCAAAGTCCCAGTATAATTAATAAAAAACAAAATTCACTATTAAAGATGGATTTGAATTTATCCATCAAAAATTTTTCACTTGTACTTTAAAATTATATTTTTGGAGCAACTTTTAATCATGTCTGGTAACGAATTCCAGTCGTTTATCCCATTATAAAAGAAAGTGATGGATTCACACCCTTTAATTCCTGGTATATAATAGTTTTTACTACTAGATCTTGTATTGAAAGATGTTTCATTTCTAACAAAATTAGTATGAAAATAATTTGGGCATATATTGTTAAAAATGTTGAAAACATGATTGAGTCTTAGTTGTTTGACTCTATTACTAATATCAAAAAGCCCAATTTCTTAAATTAAAAATATGTCACACTATTTCTGGGATGTAATTGCAGAATAAATCTCACAATCTTATTTTGTGCCACTCGAAGTTTATTCTTCATTTGGTTTTGATAAACCTTCGTACCAGCATGCACATGCATAGTCAAAATGACATGGAATCAGAGAAGAGAACAATGTTTTCCTAGATTGAAAATTTAGACACTTATTTTTCTTATATAAAAATTTAAGCCTTTGATTGACTTTTTTCACTTTAGAGTTGACAATAAAATCACCAGTTAGAAACTGATCAATTATTATTCCCAAATATTTTACAAAAGTTTTGGATTCAATATTAATACCATAACAGAAGATAGCAAAATCACCCGATATTAAAGACCGAAGTTTTCGACCAGGACCAAAAATTATACTCTCCGTCTTTCCCAAATGTAGGGACAATTTGTTGTCAGTTACCCAATCATAGCATGATTCCAGCATTCTGGATAATTTATGCTAGATGACCCCAGTGTCTATATGGGGAAATTTCAGTATCATCTGCATATATCAAAACTTTACAATCTGAGTCGATGCCAGTTTCAACATCATTGACATAGATTAAAAACAATAGTGGACCCAGTAGCTACCTTGAGGGACACCACATGTAATATTACATACTTCTGAAATCACCCCATTTACACTTACAACCTGTTTTCTGTTTGTCAAATATGACTCAAACCAAGGTATAGATCTAACCCCAATCACTTCTAATTTTTCACATAATATCTTGTGATCTACTGTGTCAAATGCCTTCTGAAGGTCTACTAGGACCATGCCTGTAAAAAGACCTTTGGCTGTTTGAGTTTTAATGTGATCTATCAAGTGAATGAGACAAGAATCAGTTGAATATGAACTTCTAAATCCTGATTGAAATTCAAATAATAAATTATTTGAAATCAAAAATTTTACAAGTTGCTTATAGGCAGCTTTTTCTAGAATTTTAGAAACAATACTTAAAATGCTAACAGGCCTGCAATTTTCATGCTTAAGTTCGTCATTTTTCTTAAATAGGGGCTTGACCATAGCAATTTTCAGATCGTCAGGTACCGTACCTTCAGATAGATAAATTTATCAAGAAAGTAATGGGTATTTTCAGAATTGGGGCTGCATCCTTAAGAAACCTTGCTGGAATACCATCTAGGCCTATGCTCTTACTTATATCTAAACATAGTTCTTTATACACAAATTCCTCTGTTACATGCTTTAGGTTAAAAAAATATCTAATTTCCTTCTCTGAACATAAAAGGATCTAACAATATTTGTAGTGGCACTATATAAACCCTTTGCAGTTGGTAGTTTTTCTACCTGTTTTGCAGCTATAGTTGTAAAAAATATGTTAAAATTATTTGATATTTTTTTGTTATCGTGACAGTTTTGCCCATCAATATTTAATACTATTTAGGATATGATTTAGGATCTTTTCGATATCCTAAATTTTTAAAACTTTTCCAAAGTTGTTTTGAATTATTTCTATTTTCTTTAATTTCACTCCTGTAATAATCAGATTTTGCAGTTTTGCGTGATCTTTGAACATGATTTCTAAGTAGCTAAACTTTTTGAAGTCTTCAGGATTTTTAGAAATCTTAAAAGTCAGATAAAAATGTGTCTCTCTGCTAAATATATATCAAAATTTCAGCTGACATCCATGGTTCTGTTCTTTGTTTAATACAAACTTCTTTAAGAGGGGCAACGCTGTCAAGAATATCCATAAAAATTTCTTTAAAAAATGACCAGGCCTCATTTATGTCTGAGGCACTGCAACACCTTTCCCATTTTGCTTTAGTAAGCTTAGCTATAAATTCCTCTTCATTATAAGATTTCACAGATCTAACTTTAACTTTACTGTGCTTATTATATACAGAATTTGCTTTTTTTTCTAGTACAATATACCATACAATGATCACTAAAACCAATATTTAGTACACCAGACTGAGAGATTTTCTCAGTATTATTACATAAAATATGATCTATAATAATATATTACAGATGCTGTAAATTCTGTAATTCTTGTTGGCTCTTTAATAATTTGACTTAAATTAAACAATTTTAAAAGCTCATTAAAAGATTTATACAGTGATCCACTCTGATCTTTAAAACATATGTTCAAATCACCAAGTAATATAATTTCACAATCCTCTCTTAGCTGAGACAAAACTTTTTCAAATTTCTCAACAAAATTACAATTTTGAGGGGGTCGATAACAAGTCCCGACAAAAATAGGTTTAGATTTTGGTAATAATAATTCAATACACAAAAATTCATCATTATTGTTTATTTCGTCCAAATTCATTGGTGTAAACGCAAGATTTTTTTTTAATGTACATACACACACAACCTCCACATCTGTTACGGTCTTTTCTGATAATAGTGTATCCAGGGATGTTAGCCTCTGTATTGGTTATCGTTTCATCAAACCAGGTCTCGGTTACAGATATCACTGCTGCGTTTTTTTAAAACGCAATAGTCTGTAGCTCAGGATTTTTTGTAAGTAACGAGCGGGCATTCAGGTGAATAAAGTGCATTCCCTTCTGGAAACATTTAAAGACTTCATCAGAATGTATATTGTCATTTTTTGGAGCTTCGTATTTAACTGCACACCTACACATATTACTGTCATTACACTTTGAACAATGGATGAAGCGATTCCTAAATGCGTCGGACTAATACATGCTATAAAAACAACAGAAACTGTCAATTAAACAAAAATTTTAAAAATGTATCCAATATTGTAAATATCAAATAAAAGTTTTCAAGTTTTATTTTAATACATATTTCTAGTCCCATCGTACATTGAAGTGCATTGAATAAATGACGACGTAACAATAACGCAATGTAACCGTAGACACATATATTATTGTTACATTCGTAATTAATCGACTCCTTACCCAACCCTGTATTCCGGCAATTATTCTCCAATGTAACAATAATTATTTTATTATTGTTACATTTCCATGTAACCGCAGTCAGTGCTTTTTTTAAATTTTCGTAAGTTGTTTTGCATCAGATAATTTTCAACTGATAAGTCATTAATTTTCAAATGTGCTATGTTCGTACTGGCATATTGTCCTAGATCTTCAGCTTTAACAAGTACTTGCCCATAGTAATGGTATAAAAAGGAGAGAAAAATTTAGCCATGGCATCTTGGCTTAACCGGAAGTTGCGATTCTTTGTTTCTTTGTTCATTGCAGATCTATGAAATCTATTAAATTCATTCACAAAGGCCTTGGAGATTATCTTCTTGTAATGACGGGCAATGAATAGCTACTGGGTGACTAAAAAAAAATGTTATATGATCGATATGGTATTTATATATATATTGTTTCCTTGATGACATTAGCCGATTGATTTGTAACCGGAGAGCATGATTCTACTTGCAAAATCGTATGTCTCCACCGGGACTCGAACCCGGGACCTCTGTGTTACAAGGCAGCGCGTATACCGACTGAGCTAAAGAAGTACTTCCTTAGCTCAACCGCTTACGGCTGAGTAAGTATCTACTAATGAAGGGAAGCAATCCCGTCACAGATTGATTGATTGATTGATTGATTGATTGATTGATTGATTGATTGATTGATTGAATGATTGATTGATTTGCATATGCATATTCAAACGGTACCAGATAAGGTACAAATTAACATTTATGTGCTCCCACTCCCAGGAGGAAAATACAGATATAAAGAAGAAGAAGCTACCATTAGAGGAAATTACTTACAAGTCTTTCCCCAGATTTTATATGTCCCTTTTTATAGAGGAAATATCTGGTACACTGACCAAGAATGCCTGAACGTCCATGGTAAATGCCGGCATGTCAGCAGGTAACAGCCCAGAAAGTAGATATCCAATGACAATGTCGAATGACTGGACAAAGATAGTGGTCACTAGTTTTTTATAAGCGTATTTTTTAAAACTTTGTCATAGATCTTAGTCCTATACTCAGTATAGCCTATAGTATAACAAATGACTTCGCATTCTTATTCAATTTTTTACATTTTTATACTGATATTTTCTTTTTTTCTTTATTTTTTTAATGCGAACATGTCTAGAGCATAAAGACATGATAAAAAAAGTAATGCTAGAATATATAAATAAAAAAAACTTTCCCCCTTTATGTTCACCTGACCCTTATAAAACTCAATTGAATTATAAGACTTAATACTGAAAACAAAAAAGGAAACTAAGAAAAAATTAAACACGTATACTTACAAAAAACTTCGATGTTCTAATTAAGTACTATAATGAAATGTATAGGTATGCACCAAACATCACCCTGACTCTCTATGATCATGTCTACATATCTAAACAACTACTACAAAAAATTTCCATGGACCCCCTCCTACCCCACTGTAGGTGGTTGGATTGGGCATTAAGTTTTACCCTACAATGTCTGTCTATACATATGTACATAAGTCTGTACATCCCGAAATTAGTTTCTGTTCTCTAACTTTAGTTTGCCTCGAACGATTGTTATGAAACTTATACACAATGCTTATTACCACAAAACACAGATCAAGTTTGAATTTTGGTAGCTTCACTTTTACTGTTCTTGAGTAACACCCCTTTACAAATGGAAAAATTGCTGAATTTTTCGTTTCTGTTCTCTAAAGTTTGCCTCAATCAAATGTTATGAAACTTATAAATACACGTTATACACAATGCATGCTTATTACCACAAAACTCAGATCGAGAAGAATTTGGGTAACGTCACTTATACAGTTCTTGACTCATGTCCCTTTATAACTTTTTATGCAAGCGGGGGCATCATCTGTGTCCAATGAACACACCCTCATTTATTTTAGATAACAGTAAGCATGGTACATGTAAGTACTTCGATTTTCCCAACCATCAGAAAAATTCATTTTGGATCATCAACATGGTAAAATTTTGATTTTTAAATCGAATACTTCCCGCATTTGCAGGTAAACTTTATAAACATTATCATGTTTTTTTGTTAAGACTCGTTTGACATTGTTAGACATGTTAGAGCTTATAATACTGTAAATTCAGAAACTATTTCATGCATTTGAACAATGATGGGGGGGGGGGGGGGGGGAACTAGAAAGTTAACATGTGGATTGATACTTGTAAAAAGTCTATGTGTCTATGCAGTTATCATGTTTATCATTTATGTAACTCCATAAGGAGAGGAAGCGTGTGCCCCCTTTCCCCCCCCTCCCCCATTTTCCCAATGCTTGTTCATTAAAAAAAAACCTCAAAATCGATCTATATCATGTTTATGTTGTCTGACAATCAATACAAGATTACAGAAAAAAAAATGATATTGTCTTCATCTGACTCTCTAAAGGGAGACATAGCGATCCTAGATTCAGTTGTTGATGGCGGCGTAGTTGGCGTCAACATTTAGGTTCAGTCTGTGGTAAAACTTGTTAAAGTTTTTTTGGACATCAATAAATCTATCAAACATACATGGAATTTATGAAATTGGGACAGAAACTTATTTATGACCAAAAAACAGTATCCAGGGCAAAATTTTGAAATATTATTTTCTTTTTTCCCTATTTTATTAATAAATGGACTTTATTTGTTTGTAACACATCAATTACTTTGTCAAACCTTCATAGGGTTTTATGAAACCTTGGCAGTAGTAATCTTAATGATTAAGACATGTAAGAGATATTGTCTGAAGCAAAACTGTGAAAATATATTTTTTCATTTTTGGTATTTTTCTGATGGATGTATTTCATTTTTTACAGTTTAAATGTAAACACAGTCTGGGATAAAAAAAAAGATTTACATGATAAAATTGTGAACCTTCATGGATTGTTATGAAATTTGTACAGAAGCTCATTTTCAAGACCAAAAAATAGCATTTAAAGAATTTTTTTTCTTTTAAAGTCTATTTTACTGATAAATGGACTCACTTTTTAAGTCAACATAACACTTTGACACTGACAGCAGCAATCACAGGTGAGACCCAGGTTCTGTGGAACCCCTTATGAAGTTTTTATAAGCTGTCAAATTCATGATCATTGATTTGACTTAAATTCTAATATTCGACTTATAAATACAATAACTGTCATATTAAAACGTATATATCCGAATTACAAAAACTCAAAAAAAAAAAATTAACAGTGTATAGACTTGTTATAATGTATCAACATTCAGATGTGCATCCAGGATTTTGAAAAAGTTCTAAATTAACCATAAATTTAGCTCCATAGACCACCCCCCCCCCTCTCCCCCTCCAAAAAAAACCAAAAAACTCTGGCATTTTGTGAATATTTTAGACATATTTGAGATAACCCAATCAGTAAAATCAAAATATATTACAAGTGAAAATAGTTTATATAAACAATTAAAAAGAAAATCAAAATGATAAACTACATGTACGTAGGGGGAATTTATCCAAGACACTCCCACTCAGGGGCACCCAAAGGTAATCATGTTCACACTTACCTTCATGGAATCTAGAATCTACAATAAATAATAATCAGCTGGCTTTCTGTTTGTAGTTTTATCACTACTCTATTAATAATGTTTTGATTAGTAATTACATTAAAAACTGAGGAACTTATATCAATTACAAATTATAACTGATAACAAGTTTGTTGTTTCAACAATTAATTTTTTTTTTTTTTAAAAGTCATTTACTTGCAAAACATAATCTGTTAATTTTGGGTGCCGAATTAACCAGGAACCCCCTTTTAAAATGGCTAAAAAAAGTCAGGATAAACTAATAGCTGACTGTGCGGTATGGGCTTTGCTCATATTTGAAAGCTGTACAGTGACCTATAGTTGTTAATTTCTGTGTCCTTTGGTCTCTTGTGGAGAGTTGTCTCTTTGGCAATCATACCACATCTCCTTTTTTATAATAAAAAGAATGGCAGGACCAAATTGAGTGAAAAATAAAAAGGAAGGACAGAGATTACAACTAAAAAAAAAAAATTTAGGACAACAATTTTCATCTGAGCCCTCCCCCCTTAAAACCCAAATTGTAGTCCCCTATTTTATTTTTCACTTCCCTTTTTTCGTGATAATCAAACAGTTGATAAAAAGGCAATATTAAAATATATATTCTTGCAGGGGAAAGTCTAGCTGCAGAACTCATGGAACTGTAGTTCCGTAAATAGTCAAAAAATATTATAAGGACCTAAGCTACTGTTCGGCAGCTAGGGAAAGTCCTGCTTCTTCCACGGAAACTTTTTAAAAGTCAAGCAGAAATTAAGCTGTAAATTGAACTGGTCTAGTTCAAAGCTCTGAAACTTCAATTTTACAGAAACAAAGAGAAGTTTATGTATAATTATCTTACTTTTATTTAATATACAAATGATTCTCAATTTCTGAATTAATAGAATTAAAAGTTCATGAATTATTCATGATTCACAATATATGATCAGGCCATTGAAAATAGAATGCTGATTTTCCCTATTCACAAAGGAAAATTTCAAAGGGTAATTTTTTTTAAAAGTCATATGAAAGGATAGTCCAAATAATTATGACGTCTTTCAAGGCAACTAAATTTTTTTTTCTGTGACGCCTCCCTACGACGTCATAACGTGATTACACTTAAGCCATTTTTTCTGTTTGGACTTTGAGAGAGAGTTTTGGGGGGAACTTTGAGACCCAATTTTGGCATGAAATCTTCATTGCCGGCTAGAAAATTTTGCATAGTTACAAAGTCTTACCTTACCTTTTTTGTGCTTATTGATGCAAAATATTTCCAGAAATATCCAAAAGAAATGATAAAATAAGATACGATTCCATTTGAGGTGAACAAATATTTACTTTTATTCAGTTCTGCCAAATTTTACCAAGTTTGATATTTTTGTCTCGCCTTGACGAAGTCAAAAAGCGAGACATAGGTATGCTGTTTCCTGTGTCGGTGGCGGTGGCGGCGTCAACAATGTATTAGTTTGCGATTAGGTCTAGTTTATGGTGCCCCACTAGTGGTAGATCAATGATATTTGATATGCAGTTGTATAAGCATTGGCACATCTCATTACCATGGAGATTATTTGGCCCCACCCCTCAGTTATGGGCTATTGGCTTTGAAACTTTGCTTAGTTTACATGTATTAGTTTATGATTAGGTCAGTTTATGGGGAACCACTAATGCTAAGATAATGATAATTGGTATGCTGTTGTATAAGCGTTGGCATATCTCATTTCCATGGAGGTTATTTGGCCCCGCCCCCTCAGTCATGGTATATTGACTTTGAAACTTTTGCTTAGTTTTCATGTATTAGTTTGTGATTAGGTCAGTTTATGGGGAACCACTAGTGGTAGGTCTATGTTATTTGGTATGCAGTTGTATCAGCATTGGCATATCTCATTACCATGGAGATTATTTGGCCCCGCCCCCTCAGTTATGGTTTATTGACTTTGAAACTTTTGCTTAGTTTCCATGTATTAGTTTGTGATTAGGTCAGTTTATGGGGAACCACTAGTGGTAGGTCAATGATATTTGGTATGCAGATGTATTAGCATTGGCACATCTCATTACCATAGAGATTATGTGCCCCCTCCCCCTCAGTTATAGTCTATTGACTTTGATAATTTTGTTTAGTTTACATGTATAATATTACTTAGTGTTTAGGTTTGTTAAAGGGAACTACTTATGATAAGACATAGTTTTTGGTATGCAGTTGTATTAGCATTGGCACATCTCATTTCCATGGAGATTGTTTAGCCATGTACCTTCAGTCATGGTTCATTGACATTGAATACTTGCAAAACTTACATGTTAAAGTGTTGTTATTTTAATTTCAACATTTGCATTATAGAAATTATAAAAAGGCGAGACATATCTCTGTGTTAACAGTTTATATACCTATGATGTCTGTTTGTTTTGTTCACAC